GAATACCCAAAGCTGTGCTATCTCTCGGGCCAAGGCACTCATAGCCTGCTGACCCGCTGGCTCGGCCACATTGGCCTGACCAACTCCTTCCTGCTTTGCCAGAATATCGTCCGGTAGAGGCATCTCCTGCCTACCACGCCTTCCTCGCCTATTACGTCCTCGTCCTGACATCCTAATAAAAGAAACCAAGACCGTTAGCACATTCACAAATGTGCCGAAGCTATAACACTCACGTCCTAATGCATGGACAACTGTAATTCACTCCACGTAAGCACTTAATCACATAAGCAATTACGAATTTCATTTCTGGATAATGATAGTCCCGAGGCGTTACTAGAGTTCCGATTAGAAACAACATTGATCAAGTGCTTTTCCAACAAGACTCCCAGAAACCCAAGGATCCAATCAACATCCCAGAAACTACATTCCATACCCACATAGTCACATAAACATGTTATCATATAAGCACATAACACTACATCTAAGTCTCTATCAAGCGAGACAAACCTATTGTGATCCTAATCACTTCCCACGTACCCAAAGTATTCGAACCCGGTACGCTCTGATACCAAGTTGTAACGCCCTCAAAATAATACATAAAACTCATCACTAGACATGCAATTATATAAAAGAAACCAACCATTTATATTCATCAGAGTAATTCTTACAACTGTATTACATGTTAACAACAAAAGCAAATGCCTTTTGGGCTTACAGCTTTCCAAGTCAACACCTGGTTACACAAAACAAGAGTACTAACTCTATACAAAATAAGCCCTTGGCTTGATATACTTGTAATACAAACAAAATAAACAAAAGAGTCTTCAACTCTCATCATCATCCAAGCTATGTCCTTGGAGGTGGCATATTACCTGTACTTGAAAATAATGTCCCATATAGGGTGAGCTAACGCCCAGTAGAAATATGCTAAACACAGTATGGGCAATAACTAAGACATTAGCAATTGATAAATGTTCAAGTTCCATAAATCAATTCATAATCCATTTCCATTCCATGACCGCTATGTTCATGTTTCATTTCAGTTTCCATTTCTTATCAATTTCACAATTTACATCAACGGCTCAAAACCTGGCCGATCACTTATATGAGATAGTGACTCATATTAGACATTTCCCATTTTGCAATAGACAAACATACTAGTTGTATCAACATTTCAACAGATAAGCATACAAGCTGTATCCACATTTCAACAGATATGCATATTAGGTATATCAACACTTCCAGAGATAAGCATAAGACCTGTATCAACACTTCCATAGATAAGCATATAAGCTGTATCAACACATTAACTGACAAGCATATGAGCTGTGTCAGTGGAGTCCATCCCCTATCTCCTCCCAAACAACATCCGGTTTAGAGGTCCATCCCCTATCTTCCCCTAAACCGTGGAGTACATCCCCTATCTCCTCCCATACACACAACTTATATACACATAGGTCATATACACAATCAATCAATACATAACGTTAATGTATTCTATCAACCGTCATACTCTATGACATATCCAATTGATTAGTTTTAGTTTGCCTAATCATCATGCATTGTCTACAACAATCAAAACTACCCTCCACCGGTAGTCCAAGCAATTATTTCTAAACAGATAATAAAAGCTCAAACAGATAAAATATCAATGTTTTTGAAAAGTGAGCGATTAACAAATCCAACTCCTCTATTCTACTACATAATGAGTCAATTTCATTATGTCCAACTCAATTCCATATAACCACAATTTTTCCCAAATTAAACATACCAATTAATTTATACAACCAATTAGGGTTTTCTACCCCATTTCCCAGTATTGACCCAATGATCTATATATCAACAACCAACAACAATATCATTATTTTGAAACTCATAATACACATTTTTAGAATCAAAATAACAAAAACCCCATTTATACCTTTTTGAAACCCTAAGTCCCAAAATCAACCATTTAACAAAATGCCCAAAAATCTAGGTCAAAACCCATAGTTGTGAGTAGGAATCCCTACCTCAAATTCGGAGCTCAAGGAAAGAAGATGAAGAAACTCAACGTGCTCCAAAACTCAATATACTCGGATCAAAACGTAGCCCTCGACGATCAACCCAACTCTTACAAAGGCCGAAGGAAAAAGAAACACTCTAACTAGATCAAACCCTAGAGAGAAGGGAGTTTCTAGAGAGAGGAACTCTGAAAATGTCTTTTTAGAAAGTAAGAGAGAGGGAGAGAATGTAAAAAGTGATTTTAAAATGCCCAGCTGCCAACTGATATACGACATTCCCGTTCGAGCGGAGAACACAACGCTCGAGCGTCAAGAACAAAAAACTAGGTACGCTCGAGCGCAAGAAGGACCGCTCGAGCGCCAAGACACAAGAATAAAGTACGTCCGCTCGAGCGCGAAGACCAGTCCGCTCGAGCGTAGATTTCCCCCTCCCAGAACTTACACCAAAAAGTACTACCCGCTCGAGCGCCAGAGTACCCGTTCGAGCGTAAAGAAACCCGCTCGAGCGTGAAAAACATGCTTGCAGCAATTCTGCAGAGCACCAAAATACTGGGAGCGTGCAATCTCCGCTCGAGCGCAACAAGGCCCGCTCGAGCGGAATGACCAAAAACCTGGCAACAAGATTTTAGACCAAGGTTCAACCCACCTGCTCGAAACATGCCCAACACATCCTAAAACTCAAACAAATGGAATTAAAGGATGACAACAAGATAGATACAACTACCAACTCCACGGAACCGAGCCCGGAATACAACAGAACAGTAAAGGGACAACCGGGATCGCTATAAACTCCTTCTTCACAAAATGATTAAGAAGTTGACATGTAATTTAAAATTTTCCATTTCATTTCCAATGAACTATTTTTCTTTCAATTTCTATCCAAATTTCTTAATCATTGTTATCAATTGAACTAAACAGCACAACATAACATATCAACATCTGTTCATCAGCACAACACAGAATAATCAACTATTTTTCTTAATCATTGTTATCAATTGCACTAGACAACATAGCACGGCATATCAACATCTGTTCATCAGCACATCACAGAATAATCAACTATTTTTCTTAATCATTGTTATCCAAATTTCCTAAGACTACCTAATCCAAACATCTGTTCATCAGCACAGCATATCAGCAACATCAGCCCAAACAAAACAGCATATCAACATCCCAAGTAAAGAAACAAATCTTCTCTATAGATTATGTAACTTCATTCTAAAGAAACACATAAATACAACATTCCATAAATCACATCCCAAAAGATGCAAGTATGCAAACACAATACACCCCAAAATCAAGTCATACACCTTTCATTGAGCCTGAATCTGCCCCAACAGCATTCATAGAGTGTTGTCTTTCTAGTTTTTTTAATGGTTTGTGATCATGTCAAATACAAACAAAAGAAGCAAGAACAAACATGAGCAACATCCAAGTGACCTTTGCAAAACGTAAAAGCATACAAGATTTATTAATTCACACCATATAACCATTACACAAATGGGCGTCAACATATGCCAAATATTAGCACCAGGCCACTGGTTCTTGACATGAAGGCTGCATTTTCAACACCATTCAGTGTTTTGGTTTCCCGAGCTGTCCTTTGAAGGCTTGTTGACTAGAGCACCACACACAATTTTATATAATAATAATAATAATAATAATAATAATAATAATAATAATAATAATAATAATAATAATTATATAACAATTTTATTATTATTATTATTATTATTATTATACTAACATCTCAGGGAAAGCCACTTTCTCAGTATTTGCATATGATGTCAGTAGATCCTCACACTTAAACCAATTCATTAGAAAATTCATAGTTGGGAACAAATGTAATGTTTGCAAAAACACATTTAGTACTTGGGAAATTGAAAAGAAATGGAAGTTTGTAACCCTACAAATGCAATTATCACAGCCTAAACAAGCATGAAGCAAATCCTTTGAGAACACATGATTTACTATAACTTGTGATTTACCATTGAGATAGTATATGGTTCATAATTTCCATTGATTGTACTTAGCACGTTCGAGATAAATTATACTATGGTTTATACATTATGATTGCGAATGGCATATTTGGGATAAATGTTCCTATGATTTATGCATTTTTGTTTGTGTGTGACATACGTTAAATAAATTTAGGTGAATGGAAATGATTGAGCAACGATACAAGTGTGAGCAATGGCATATGAAATGGACCTAAGGTCGTTTTGTTTCCGTTATGTAAGATGGGCCTGAGGCCGTTTTGCATTATGTTGGGCCCGAGGCCGTTTTGTATTATGTTGGGCCCAGGGCCGTTATGTATTATATTGGGCCCGAGGTCGTTTTGAAATATGATGAAGAGGACATGTAAACATTGAATAAATATTCTCCAAGACATATGCATATTTTCCCAAACCTCTTTGCATTATTATTATTCATTGAGCCTTGGTCACTTCGTTTTTATATGTTTATGTAGGTGATCAGCTTGGAGGACAGCCCTAGGTCAACTTCAGGAGTCTTTTTTGCTGGGTTTGTTGTGTTAAGCCTGCACAATTGAAGCTTTTTGTCTGATTCTTCGATGTCACATGTTTTGTCGAGTTTTTGGGTGGCTTTTGTTGCGCGTTAGGTTCATATGTAAATTTTGGGTTGTGAACTTTTTCCTAAACCTATATGACTTGGATTGTATATACATGAATTGCGTATGTGATATTTGTATATGTGATGTAATGTTTAAGATCCTTACATTTAAGCACTGCTCAATGGACGTTCTGTTATTATTTTTCATATCTGCTTCCGCTTAAGGCCCTGTATTTGGATAACTATTATTTTGAAATTTTGTTTTAAGGCCTAAGTACGGGCCAGTCATGGACCAAACTTTTAGGGGCGAGTTTAGATCATGACATGTAGATATATTTTATTTATATTTCACTTACCTTTTTCTTTTCATTTTGTCTTTCTAAATCCCCTAACGAAACACAATGTAAATGTTTACATTCACTAGCAGTCATTTAAGATAGAGAATATTTATTCACCCACAAAATATAAAATACATAAACTGGTCATTATTACATATTCATGTGTGAGAGCCTTATTTATTCCATACGTAGGAGTATTTGACTCGCTGACCATCGCAACAATGCAAATGCACCTGCCTATACCTAGGCACCTTCCAGGGTCATTATCCCCTCAAACATGGGCGAAGTGTTGTTACCAATTGAGGCATATGATACACACTGACACCAATTATCCTCGTGAGTTAAACCAGCATTTCCCATTTTATCAGATACTGTACCCCAACGGTTGTTAGACTCCTTGTAGTGATCAGCTCCACGAATCTCAGTATAGGCCTGCACATTACATCACATCACATGAATAGTTTTTTGTTGGGGATACTTACAAAGTTCAAAATCCATCTGCTCTCAAAACAAAACACTTGCACCAATTAGTCGTACATATTTTAATTATTATCAAAAAAATCTTCTTTTTTTTAAATTTTTTTTAAAGATGTTATATCCTAGCGCCGTTAGACTTTCGTCAGACGGTCATCAAAGGCTTGCCAAAATGTTCAACATCACCAGGAAGTCGTCGGAGTATTTTGAACGTCATTGCAAGTCGCTAGAATGCCCACAACGTCACTGAACATCAAGAACATCGCTGGAAACTCACTGGAATGTCCAAAATATTACTAGGGGGGAAAAAAATAGGGAAAGTAAAGCAAACAAATATTGTAAAATGTGTTAAATATTGAAAAGAAAAAGAAATATAACAAGAAGAAACAACAATAATGAAAAAAAATATATAAGTTATTTTTCATTTTTTGTAGAATTTAAGGAAATAATATCCTATATTGATGAATTTGAAAAGCAATTGTAAAATTGTTACAATTTTAAAGTATGATTCTATTAAACATTTCTCTTTATTAATCAAATTGAAAAACATATTATGAAACTGCAAAATTTTGTAGTAAAAGCATGTTATGAAATTGCACAAATTTTACAGTTTTAAAACATAATTCATTTCAACACAAAAAAGAATTGAAATTGGAAAATTTTACAGTTTTCACCGCTTGTAACTAAAACTTGAAAAAAAAAATTGTTTAGAATTTGAAAATTTTCTTTATTAAAACAGGAAAAGAGAAGTGTGCAGTAGAAAAAGTAAAAAAACTGATAGATTGAAGGAGACGAGCAGATATAGAGAGAGGATTGTACTCCGATAATTATTTTTAGTTTAGATATGGCTGAATCTGCGCATATCTAGTCTATGTCATTTGTTGGAAACTCATCTATTTATCCCATTCACCGGAAACTTAGATCTAAGCAGATCGAAGTAAGGAGTCGGTGGTCAGTTGTTGCCGGTGAAACCCCCATCGATGGTGTTCGCCGATCGTCAGTGAGTGTATATTAAAAAGTGAAAGAGAGGAAGAAATGTGTTGTCGTCGGTCGTCGGATATCAGAAAGAGAAGGATAAAAAATAATAATAATAAAAATAAAAAGAAAGGCGTGTAAGACTTTTGGGTCTACCTAAAAGGTTTTGAGATTAAACAAAATACACCTTTTAAAGAAGAATTGCGGATAATTTATATATTTTTGTCAAACATTTTATTAAAAATGGATTAGGATCCTCTTTGTTAATTTTTTCTGTCCCACAATTTATAATGGGCCCATCCTCGATCCTTTAGAAATGTTCCCAAACTTTTAATTTTTTTAGTCAAGATGAATAGAATGTCTTTGCGGTTAATGTGCTTGATCGAACCTTGATAGTTTTATGACTGGACCATATTTGTATTTTAGTTTATTTTAAATTTATACACGCCGTTCAATTTTATTTATTTTTTATTTAAAAAAAAGGTTTTATCCCATATTACTAATCTAAGCACCTAATCTCACTTAATATAGTGTAAGGATTTATCCATTCATTGTCAATGGATTTTAAGTTGGATGATTTAACATCTTTTTTTAGTACAAATGTGATATAATTGGTCAATGGGCTAACAATGATCGGCCAAACTTAATTTGTTGCATAAATATATAACGTGCTCGACGGGTACAAAAAATTGAACGGTTTAAATCATGAGAAAAAAGCTCAAAGTTGGTACCATTGAAGTAAAAAATAATGGGAGATGATAAACTATTATAAATAAGAGTGCATTATTTGGACTGCAGCAAACCGTTTGAGCTCGTGGAGTCTACTATGAGTCCTATTTTGATGATTTAAACCGTTCATTTTGTTGAATCCTTTGTGTATATCTTCAAAAAATTAGGTCAATTATATAATTGTAACTTATTCAATTTATTATATATGTCTATGAAAAAGATAAATAGCAAGTGTGTTTTTGAAAAAGATCATTCATTTTTTATTTTTATTTGTGCGTGCGTGCGTGCACGCTTGTGACAAATAAGATAAATTGAATATGATTAATTATTAGATCAACCTATTTCTTCTTCTTTTTTTTGTCTTTTATAAATAATATACACAGAAGACTCAACACAAAAAATGATTCAAAATATCGACACGAACCGTCGTGACAGCACTCTCCAGGAAATCCATACTCCATAAATAAATGAATAGCCAATAGAATAGGTGAGAATCCACGAGGGAGGAAGCAATGCCATGAATGTGAAGACAAATCAGTAAACGTTTTACTTACATGGTTGTCACCAACATATGGGATAGACCAAGCCAACATCCAGTCATGTTGTTCGCCAGATTGGTTCTTGCCACGATACACAACACCTGCACTTGATCCAGCAGTAATTGCAGAGGGTTTGACATGCAAAAAAGCAGCCCACTGGCCATTTTGAATTATTGTTGGGTATGGGTCGGTATAAATGTGGCCGTGATAATGGAGGAAGCAATGCCATGAATGTGAAGACAAATCAGTAAACGTTTTACTTACATGGTTGTCACCAACATATGGGATAGACCAAGCCAACATCCAGTCATGTTGTTCGCCAGATTGGTTCTTGCCACGATACACAACACCTGCACTTGATCCAGCAGTAATTACAGAGGGTTTGACATGCAAAAAAGCAGCCCACTGGCCATTTTGAATTATTGTTGGGTATGGGTCGGCATAAATGTGGCCGTGATAATCGTGGGTAGTAATAAACTTTAAAGCGTCCCCAGTCGCATTGTAAATCACGCAGAGTGCGGAGATTCCATCACCGAAATCCTTTTTACGACTCTCAACATGATTGCGAGCATTGTGATCCTTATTTTCTGCATTTTTCATAAGCATAGCCACATGTGCTCTGTCTCTAGGCGTTATTTCTTTTTTATAATATTCTGGCATAGCCTCCAGAGTTTCATTGGTGATGGGGTTGCCAAACACATTGTTTGCCATGATGCCGCCTCCTGCAAAACAGTAGTAGTAGTACAAGGTAGACAAGCATTCAGTTTAATACACATGGGGCAGTGGCATTAATTCAGTTTGATATATATAAAATTTTCAAATAGCAGCTGACCGACCCTTGATTTGAGTATATAGTTACCAAAAACGTACCACTTTTAAAATCAAAAAAGGGTTCCAGTGATGCGAGGGACGGTGAAAAATATACAAGAACCAATTACGCAAAATCAAATTGAAATTGGAAAACTAAAATATAATAATGATATAATAGAATGAAAACACATGAAAACAAAGCAGTGGGATCTGTGAGTCTGATATCACCTCAACTGATTAACTCCAAATCAAGTGGGTGAGTCCTCCTTTGCCTCTGGTGTTTTCCCAGGCGTGCATCGATATATATAATATTTGGAGTGCTCTCCTCCTCTTATAATTTTAGTACTTATCAAACATATCATTAGAGGTGACAAATTAAGGGCTTGTTTGGTTTGTTTTTGGGAGAGTTGTTTTTGAAATTTTTTTTCAAAATTTTGTTTGGTTTGTTGTTTTTCTCAAAAAATTTCAAAATCACTTTTCTCTCTTATACATCAATCAATCACTTTTTCTCTCTCCTCTCTCATTTTCAATCACTTTTTCTCTCTCACACACATCTACTCAATTACAACAAAATATCAAATCATCCCAAACTCCAAAACTACTTTCAAAATATACAACTAAACAAACCGAAAAAATTTCTAAACTCACTCCGCAGATTTTTTTTCAAAAACAACTCTCCCAAAAATAAACCAAACAAGCCCTAAGTGTTTCAAGTATTTTTTTCATTGCAAATGTGATAGTTGGTCACCATGTCTTCCTTGGGGCTTAGTCCCAAGGAGGTCATGGGTTCAATTTCTCTTAGGGGAGTTGAACTAAGGGAGTGCAAGCACTTAAGTGCTTTGCCAATGGTGAGAATATTTTTTCTCATAGGTGCTAATCTAACAACTAACAACTAACATTTGCCGATCAAAAAAAAAAAAAAACACACACACAGAGAGAGAGAGAGAGGTGGAAGTCTGAAACATCAGTTACTACCAGCAGAGGAGCACTCTGTCTCTCTGTGTAGTTGTTTTAACAGGAATCTAACCTTTCACCAGCAGGGATTTTTCTGATTATTTTAGTCACAAGAAGATAAAATAGACTATAAAGTCAATAAGATAAAATGACACATCTAAATTATAAGCATTTCATTTTTTATCTAACAAAAGTTAAAAAAAAACTAAAAAACTAATCCCAAACGAGACTTTTTACTCCAAATCAAAATAACTAAAAAGTCAATGCATATCCTAAACAATGCTGAATTTCTTTCCTACTTAGTTTATACCCCCACCCCTGCTTCTTTTTTGGCCATCCTTCTCTCTCTCTCTCTCTCTCTCTCTCTACTTCATTTTCTTGCTCCCTTTTCCAAACCTGTACCACATTTTTTGACTGGTGCTTAGGGAAAAGGATCTTCTGGTCGTAAATGTTACTGTTCCTTGTTTTTCAACTTCTACAACCATTTATGTTGAGTTTCATAATTAATTTTTTAGTTTTTATTTTATTTTATTTTATTTTTTTGTTTTCCAGAATTTACAAAAACTTTGATGTATTATGATAATTGCCAAAAAAAAAAAAAAAAAATACTACTATTTTAGTTAATGAAAAAGTTTATTTTTCTTTTTCAGTTCAAGACAAATAAAGCCAAAAGCAATTTTTTAAGCTCTTTCCAAATAGTATTTGAATTAGATGTTTTGAGACAGACAATGCCTCAGTAGTGTAAGAGTAACTTTAATCATACTTTTTATTTTTTATTAACTAAAATATAAAAAAAAAGAAAGATAATTCTTCATTTTGCGTAATTCTTTTTTGGGTAAATTACACTTACACCCCTTGAGATTTGAGTTTAATACAAATCACTCCTGACGTTTGGAAAATTACATTAACCTCCTGTCATTGTAATTATTTAGACGAAATAAAAACATTGAACTCATACATTCTCTCTTTTCTTGCTTTGCTTTACTTCCTCTGTTTTTTTTTTTCCTTTCCTTTGCTTTATTTATTTATTTATTTTTTAAATATAATTTTTTATGTTTTTCTATTAGGAGTTGTTGCCTTTTATATAAGTAGGGGGTTTGTGAAATGAGACTATTAACCACATGGGTGAGAATGTAATTGTCAAAACGTCAGAGGATGAAATGTAATTAGATCAAACCTTCGGAGGTGTCAGCTTTTTTTTATCTATATACTCCAATGCTACTATTTATTTTACTTATCTATACATGCAAACTGTTTAAAGAGACTTCCAAGACTCTTCAAATGTAGCTAGCTATGAAGAATTTTGTTAAATTAGTTATTGTAATAGCTATTCCATTGGAGTGACTAAAATATGAAAATGGTAGCTATAATACCTAACATGCCTCATTTAAAGAGTCTCTTGGAGATGCTCATAGAAGTTTATAAAGGCTAGTTTTACAATTGTTTTTTGAAAATTTTTTGAGAGTTCTAATTGAGCTCCCCCAATCCACCCTTAATGACATTGAACAGACCATGTGAAGGGGGACCCACACTTCTCTCTCTATTTTTCTCTATTCTCTCTGTAACACCCTACTATATCATACACAAGTACACCACGACAAAGCATAGCAAAATACCAAAAGTCATCTTTCTCATTGAACTAAGCATTAAGATATTACAATTTCAAGTTTACATTTCCAAGATACTTTGAATTCATCTCCAAGTTCAATGAACTAGATGACATTACAAAAAGGAAAAAGCCTTAAGGCCATACAAGGCAAAAACAAAAACACGTTTAAAAGTCTTGACCCAAAACTCATTGTCTTGACAGTAAAGTATCTTCAAGCTGTTAACCCCAACTGAGCAACCATTTACTTCAAATCATCACGGTGGCAGTGCATCATCATGTCCTAAAAATTTAAATAGGGTTGAGCTATATGTCCAGTAGGAATACATTTAACCAAGTATCTAATCATTTGAATAAGTTCATGACACCATTATAACCAAAACTAAATTAGTGGTTCATAAGAAAACATAGCTAATTAGGTTATTAAATTCAAAATAATTTTGAAGTCACCTTACCATCTCACACCAAACCACAATTCACATCAGAAAGAGAAATATACCATAAGTCCCTTGTAAGAGTACACAATTTCATTACTTAAATCATTTTTTGTTCAAAACCATCCCTACATTTATTGACTATTATACGGCAGGAAGTGGGCGCCCAAAATCATCCATTTTTCCACTTTTACCGAGAACAATACGGCTGTACCAGTGGACACCCAAAAATATTTTTCCATATTTGTCCGGCGATAATCTCAGGACAGGGCAATTGGGCACCTTCATTCCCCGCGCGGGTACCAACACAATATAACAACATCAAGACCGATTCTTACCCGGACTTATGCGTAATTTACCAAATTTTCATCCAATCACAAGTATTCATCACTGTACGAAAGAAAACACAATCACAACATTCAAAATGAATCCATCCCCAAGCCATGATTTTGTTATCACAACAATATCTACATCTTTCACCTTCTATTGTGCACAATCTTCCTAGACTCTAAGAAAATTCCAATCTAAATACTATTTTCCACTCAATTATAAATTAGGGTTTTGGTCAAATTTGGGGCTTTCTCCCTATCTTTATATAGATATAAATTCTCAACATTAATGTTCCTCATTTACGTAAAATTATATAAAATTGTAATGAAAACTAAGTAAAATGACCGTTTTGTTAAATACAAAGTTTGATCCATCCCAATCGTTAATCAAACCTTAAAGTCACATAATACCATATAAACTTCTTCGAAACAAAGAAATAGTAAGTTAAAAGTAACCCTACCTCAAGTTATGAGCACAACATCCAAGTTTCTAGATGAGCTCTTCACCAAACAAGAATCCAATCGGTAGGAAGGATGTTCTTCACAAGCATTCCACTCCTTACAAGCATTCCATTTCTTCACAACAAACCAATGCTCGAGCGCAAGAAAGGTCGCTCGAGTTGGGACTGCTCGAGCGCAAAATGCACCGCTCAAGCACATATTACACTCTCCCAATAGTTTTGCAGAACTACAGAAGTACTGAGAGTTCACAAAGCCCGCTCGAGCACAAGAAGTGACGCTCGAGCGGTGGGGTAAAATTCTGGGCAACAAGAGCTTGAAAGCCAAGCTACCAACCTGTTCCAAACGCAACCAATACAACCCAACAGCCAAACCCGAAGAAATATAAGAGACGTAAGACATGAACAACAATACGAAACCATGAAATATGAGTCCAGAATACAAATTGGGTCAGGTCTAAACTAGAAACGCTATAACCTCCCCCCCTTAAGGAATTTCATCCCCAAAATTTCAAATCAAGTTTTAAAACTATAATTAAACCAATTACAGTAATGATAATTAATCAATTCCATTACCATGACCCATTCTCTGGTCATCCATTCTCATCAACTCGATACACAAGTTCCAACATTGAAAGTACAATTTACAATTTTCAAAACATATACAATGTTTACATTAAACCCATGTTTTCAAAACATATACAACATATACAATGTTTTCATACTTCATTAACATAACATAATCTCAATACATGCTCAAAACCTATCAAATAAGTCTGGATACTTCTCACGGACTTCCAACTCACGTTCCCCTGTTGCTTCCTCAACTTCATGATGTCGCCACAATACTTTAACTAAGGGAATTGTCTTACCTTGCAAGACTTGGTCTCGAGTATCCAAGACTTTTATCGTTCTCTCCTCATACGAGGCATCCTTATCTACCTCTAAGTCGGTCCAATCCAACACGTGTGATGGATCTGACTCATACTTTCAAAGCATACAAATATGAAACACGTCATGAGCCCTAGAAAGTTGTGGCGACAAGGCCAAAGGAAGGAATGGAAAGACTTCAAAGATGCCAAAACTCAACTCTATCCAGATCAAGGGAGAGCCCTCGGAGTGCTCTACCTTTTCAACAAAGGCACACGGGCAGAGAAACCACCAAATCTAGGTGAAAATGTAGGGAGAGCGAGAGAGAGAGAGAGAGAGAGAGAGAGAGGCTCTAGATCTAGGGTTTTGAGAGAAAAAGTATGAAAAAGTGATGTAGAAGGGAGCTGTTGCGAACTGATATATGCACAGTCCGCTCGATCGCAAGAAGTGATGCTCGAGCGTCAGACACAATAAGTTGTTCCGCTCGAGCGCAAAAAGTCTCGCTCGAGTGCAGAATGCACATTTCCAATAGTTTTGCAGACAACAGACTAACACTCGAGCGCAAGAAAGGCCGTTTGAGCTGTGTAGACACCCCATTTTTTTGACCGACCTTAAGACTCAGACGTCATCGTTTGAGTGCTTGATGATTGCGCTTGTTTGCGCTCGTTTGGAGTCCCCAAGGTTTTCGGCTGCGCGCCTTGCCCCTGAGTCTCTGAGCTCT